TTTAATGAGATTTGTAACTCCTGCAATCTCTCAATTAGTAAAGAGGTCCTCTTTTGAATGCAAGGATTCTCAACCCTCGTTTCCCAAATCAGACGCATCTCAACTCCACACCACTCCCCCCAACCCCCTGCACGCCGTGGCCCACATCCCGTCCAAAGATTCGGGACACACAGCGGCCCCTTCCTCCCCCTCTGGACTGCCTTCCATTTCCCTTTTGATTGTGATTGACAGATTCTTTGTCCCATTGTACTGAGCTGTCGCCTCTGATGAAGACACACACACACACACAAACACAATCTTGCTCGCGCACCTTGGCCTTGTTGCGCCGGACTGAAAGGTCTGTCATCGCCGAGACGTGAACGTAGTTGTGCTATCTGTGCTGGGTAAGTTTCCAGTGGTTTAGAAAACCAAGGACATGGTTGCACGATGCCTGACGCAGGCCGGAAGAATCTCGCGCAGTCCGTCTGCAATCTGCGCCGTGCTGAGGTGGTGTTGCTGAGCGGGACAGCTGGTGGGGGAGGCGAAAGGGATGCTCAATGTTGTCTGAAGTGGTTGTCATTAACACAGCTCCTCAGGGATGGGAACCAGGTCACATTCTCTCACTCCGCACAAAGCAGTGTGTGTGTGTGAGAGGGCTGGGGGTGCCGAGGGAGGGTGGCGGACGGGGACTAGGCCATGACCTCTTTATATCCATCAACATATCATTGGCCGGGTGTGCGCTGTCCAATCTGCAATGCGTCGGAATGTACTTTTTTGCTCTATTTGCCCCTCTTGCTTTTGCGGTCTCTCTGCTCGCAGTCACAGTCTTTATATCTCCTGCATCTTTTGCTCTCACTTTGTCTCCTTCACTTTTCCCCATTTTGTGTTGGCCTTCCTTGCATAGTGACTCAGACAAATACCTTGGCTATGTGACTAAAACAGCGCACAGGGCTGGAGGGGGTCCGGTACTCTGTATAATCATAAATAAAACATTTTCCGTACAAGGAACATGTGCTCAGGGTTATACACACCTTGTCAGGGATTTTGACAGCCTAATATTTAATCCACAATTCATACTTTGCAGTCACGTGACTACCATGGATACCTGGCGGGCAACAAACACTGACAAAATGGCGACAAACAGTGGCCAGCCAGGGGAATTGCAGCCTTCAAATACTACAATCAATTAACTATTTAGACCATATGTCACCGATATCTAAAATCAAGAATAGATTAAAATACTCGGAACGTGTGATCCATACACAGTCCCCGCTGATTTTTCATTGCTTTGAAGCTGGCAAAGTCTCTACTTGGAGTTTGGAGATATTTACATAAGTTATGTCTTATATCATATTGTCATCGTTACGTGACCAGCAGTTTCTTCTCTTCACTGCCATTCACAAATGGGATAGTATGTTTATAGAGTGGTGGAGGTTGATGTCACGTTATAAACACTTTACTAACCCATTTGTGAATGGCAGTTATAGACCAATGGACAGTTTGCATCACACTGGCTCCCTCTACAAAAACCCAATAGGATTTTTCCATAGGCTTTTGGATTATCGCAAAAGGTAAGCTCTGTGAAAGACTGATGCTTACACATTTTGTCCATCAAGATAAATAGCACAGATGTAACAGATATAACACTATATATAGATATAAAATGCAGTAGCCAGAAAAAGCTAAAGGTAGGCTATAAATTTTACTTAACCACAGTCCCACGAATTCAGCGTCTCCGTCAACTCTTTCAGTTTTTATTTTAAAACATTTTCTCTGAAAGTTGGACTTAGAACATTTATAAGAGCACAATTATAAGCATAACAAGGCTGTAAAAGTGGACTGAGTTTACCTGTTAGGCGTGATGATGTTTAACCTCCCTGAAAATCTCAGTAGTCCCATTAAGTCACATGTTAGCAAGCAGCTTTTTTTGAAGCGTAACCGCTTCAAAATTCATGAGTGGGCTAACACTGATGTACACTCACCTAAAGGATTATTAGGAACACCTGTTCAATTTCTCATTAATGCAATTATATAATCAACCAATCATATGGCAGTTGCTTCAATGCATTTAGGGGTGTGGTCCTGGTCAAGACAATCTCCTGAACTCCAAACTGAATGTCAGAATGGGAAAATTTTGAGCGTGGCATGGTTGTTGGTGCCAGACGGGCCGGTCTGTGTATTTCACAATCTGCTCAGTTACTGGGATTTTCACTCACAACCATTTCTAGGGTTTACAAAGAATGGTGTGAAAAGGGAAAAACATCCAGTGTGCGGCAGTCCTGTGGGCGAAAATGCCTTGTTGATGCTAGAGGTCAGAGGAGAATGGGCCGACTGATAGAAGAGCAACTTGACTTAAATAACCACTCATTATAACCAAGGTATGCAGGAAAGCATTTGTGAAGCCACAACACGCACAACCTTGAGGCGGATGGGCTATAACAGCCCCCACTCATCTCCACTACGAATTGGAAAAAGAGGCTACAATTTGCAAGAGCTCACCAAAATTGGACAGTCTCAAAATTGGATGAGTCTTGATTTCTGTTGAGACATTCAGATGGTAGAGTCAGAATTTGGCGTAAACAGAAGGAGAAGATGGATCCATCATGCCTTGTTACCACTGTGCAGCTGGTGGTGGTGGTGTAATGGTGTGGGGGATGTTTTCTTGGCACACTTTAGGCCCCTTAGTGCCAATTGGGCATCATTTAAATGCCACAGCCTACCTGAGCATTGTTTCTGACCATGTCCATCCCTTTATCGCCACCATGTGCACATCAACTGATGGCTACTTCCAGCAGGATAATGCACCATGGGGCCCTATTTTAACGATCTGAAACGCAAGTATCAAGCGCGAAGCGCAAGTAACTTTGTGGGCGGGTCTTGGGCCCTGTTGCTATTTTACCAGCGGGATCAATTACTTTTGTGCCGACGCAAGTTTAAAAGGGGTTGGTCTGAAGTAGCTTCATTATTCAAAGGTGTGGTTTGGGCATAACGGAAACAAACCAATTAGAGCGTCATATCACATTCCCTTTAAGAGCGTGATCAACGAGGTGCGCTTGTTCCATGGCACAATTCTACTGTATTATAACGGCACATTTACCAGACGCGCTTCAGCATCGGTTCACAGCCGAGGAGATCGATGTTCTTGTCAGGGCCGTAAAAGAAAGAGAAGGGACATCGGGGATGGGACAAACCCACTCAAATTAGCTTCGGGTTAACATGCATATAATAATTTGAGTAAATGTGTAAGCTTTATGCCTATTTTTCCCATCGTCATGGACACAACAATGATTTCCCCCGTGTTTAAATATTTTTTCCTTATAACATTTGCAAACAAGTAAAATGCATCTGTGTAGATGAGAGAATCATCTACAGTTTATGCATGTTGTTCACACTCTGTATTATGGCCAATGCGCGTTTAAAATATAATCTGAATGTACGCGCAACGCGCCACTGACTTTAGACAATTTTTTTTCTGGTCATTGGCGCAATTGCTTTCTGGAACTGCAAAATAGCACCAGGGATAGTTTGCGCCTAAACACGCCTCCTTTTTTGCGGCAACCTGCCCAGGGATCGCAAGTCCATTCCCTAGTTTACTGATGTGCGTCTGTGGAGGGAAAAGTCCGCTTTGCGCAGGTTCAAAATAGGAATGACACATGCGTCAGTGTATAAAGTCATTTGCGTCAGGTGCAAAATAGGGCCCCATGTCTCAAAGCTCGAATCATTTCAAATTGGTTTCTTCATGACAGTGAGTTCACTGTACTAAAATGGCCCCCACAGTCACCAGATCTCAACCCAATAGAGCATCTTTGGGATGTGGTGGAACGGGAGCTTCGTGCCCTGGATGTGCATCCCACAAATCTCCATTAACTGCAAGATGCTATCCTATCAATATGGGCCAACATTTCTAAAGAATGCTTTCAGCACCTTGTTGAATCAATGTCATGTAGAATTAAGGCAGTTCTGAATGTGAAGTCAAACACAGTATTAGTATGGTGTTCATAATAATCCTTTAGGTGAGTGTATTTTATGTTGTATAAAAATATTTAAAATGTCTTAAGCTTGTGTTCACCACAGACCTTATTTCAGCCATTTAACCTCAATCATATTACAAAAACCCATTGACTTTGGGACAATGAAGCCAAAATTGCTAAAATGCTAACTCACTTCCGTGTTTTGGCCTACAAAGTGATGTCTTGCACCACTCTATTGGATGTGTGCTTCTGAATCCCCCCTGGAAGTTGATGTTCATCCAAGTACTTTTTGTCAACTGTTGAAAACTGTGAATTCGGACACATCCTACTCTTTTTACATTTTGTTTTTTGCCTACTTTATAGTAGTTTCTCTTCTCAGTAAGAATGAATCATCAATGCCATCCCATTTTGAAGGATCCGAGGAATGCGGCCTTCATTTCTCATCCTTCATTTGACGTCATACGTAGGATGCATCAAGTAAACAAACCAATCACCCACAATTCTTAACACAAATTCCAAATCAGTAACTTTAAATTCAGTTATCATAAATAGGCCTATATTTAATATAAAGTGTTTATATTAAAGTAACTTTAATAGTATTTTTTTGTACTTGACCGCGGGGCAGAAAACCTAATTACAAACGCACTTACTAGATGCGCACTTACCAGACCGTCTCATTCTAGCGTTCGGTGCTGAGAAGAAGTTTAGCATAGGAGCCTTGGATGGATTGGACCAGAAAGGAGGACACAGATCTAATTAGGATACAGCTTCCCAATCCCAACTGAGAAGCGCCGTAATGACAGCACATCTGTGTGCTATTTCTTCTTTACTCTGCTAATGTACTCTGTCGCCCTCTGCTGGTTAAAATGAGAATGTCTGGCAGTCTGTCATTGGCTAATGTTGAGCATCCCACAGAGTAATGTGGTTAAGGCAGTTTCACTCTGTTGAGTGGTGTATTCAGTGTTGAGGTTTTTCTCAATCAAAGGAGCAGAATTAAGGTAAATGAATCTGGCACTGGATAAAAGTAAAAGCAGTTTGAACAAGAAAGACGACAAGTGAAAACTACGCTTTAATACGCTTCCAGCCTTGAGCAAAACGATCACATTACATTGTTATTTAGGTTCAAAATCAGCACATCTTTAAATAAAGCTTTAAGACCTCCTAAATGTTCAAGTTAATTCAAATAAAAAACATAGACTTAGCTTATAAAAGGAGAAAAACAGATTTTAAACATAAGACAGAGACATTTCCATGTACGTCATTAGTACAAATGAAGGCAGCTATGTGATTATTTTTCACTTGATTGTGAACATGGTCTGTTTATTTTTTACAGACTAAAATGCTTCATAATTCACAATCATGGAATAACATAACCCACCTACTCTTTTAATACATCTGTTGTTACGAAGTTGTTCTGATGAATAGAGTTGCTAGCATTAAAACAAAAATGCATGTGCATGTTTTTTTTTTTTTATGTGTTTCAATGTGGAATACTCATATGAGGTATTGTATTATCCTGCTTGTTGCATTGAGTTGTGTCCTATTCTTCTGTAAACTGAGGGAAGTGTGAGTGTGTGCGTCTCACTGCTGCCCTCTTCAGTCAGGAGAAATGGTGCGTCTGCGCAGACAGTTGCATGTCAGGCATTTGAGGATGCTCATGGTAATGTGCATAAGCGAGCCAAAGTTAAAGAGCAGGTTGTAAAATGTGTGCACTGAAAGTCCTCCGGTCTCATCCGCGTATTTCATGGCCACAATGGGTGTGTAGAGGTTGTTGGTCAGATTCCGGAATCGAGGTCGGCTGGATTCAATCACTTTCTTGGTGCACTGGAACAGAAAATGACCAAAAATGCATGGAGAATTAAAAGAATGCAAAGCTTTAATGGGCGGAGCTAATGGTTTTCAATGCAATGAATTCGTCAAACGGTGGCACACACTTTAGCGATGTCATCAGGCCTTTGTCCCAATGCCTCAAAGATATCGATGGATGATGGAATGTACACATCCTTGAAGTATCTGACAGTGTCTGCGTCTGCTCCTGGATACTCCATCTTGGCCACTTCTTCCATCATCTTGGTTTCAAACTCTGTATGCACTGGGCCTGGCTCGATCATAGACAGTCTGGGAGTACAGAGGGAATGTTACAGTACATTGCAACTTGAACAAAAGAAAAAAAAAAAAGAAACAAAATGTCTAAAGGCGCCACGCGATACCTTGCTACAAACCTGGTTTAGTTAAACGGTCGGAGTCATCTGTATGACAGATAATTGTATTTTCTGCATTCTCGTTTTCTGCCTCGTTTTAGCAAAAGTATCTATTTTGCTGCTCATGGTGTTTCTGCTACTGCTGTTAAAATAACCATGTCATCTGCAGCTCTTTTCGTCTTTAGCGGGAGAGAGATGCAATGCGTACAGAGCGGAAAGGACTTGAATGAAGCTTGTTTGGCTCCATATAAAAATATTATGAAGATGTAGAGTGAAAAATCTGTGGTTCACCATTTAAATACCAAAGCTTTAAAGGGATAGTTCACCCCAAAAAAACAATTTGCTGTTAATTTAATCACCCTCAGGCCATCCAAAATGCTGTTGACTTTTTTCTTTTTAGCTGAAAACGTGGTCCTTGGTAATTAATTTTGGTTTCAGCTAAAAGTCTTCTTTACATTTCTACTGAAGAAAAAAATACACCAACATCTTGGATGGCCTGAGGGTGAGGCCATTTTCATTTCGGCTGAACTATCCCTTTAAGAGAGTAGTTCACTTTAAAAAAAACAAAAAACTTTTGCTGATAATTTACTCACCCCCATGTCATCCAAGATGTCCATGTCTTTCTTTCTTCAGTCGAAAAGAAATGAAAACATTACATGATTTTCCTCCATATAATGGACTTCAATGGGAACCAAACAGTTCAAGGTCCAAATGAGAGTTTCAGTGCAGCTTCAAAGGGCTTTAAACGACACCAGACGATGAATAAGGGTCTCATCAGGCGAAATGATCAGTCATTTAAAAAATAAATAAAAAAGTTTAAGTTTTATAAGCACAAATGCTCGCCTTGCTCTGTTCTGTGATGAGCGTTCGTGACTCTCCTGTTCAAACTCGTTCATCAAAATGAACAAATCTTTTTTCGAGTCATGACTCGACGGGTCCTAGATAAGACCCTTATTCATCATCTGGTGTCGTTTAACGCCCTTTGAAGCTGCATTGAAACTCATTTGGACCTTTGAAGTCCATTATATGGAGAAAAATCCTGTAATGTTTTCATCAAAAACCTTAATTTCTTTTCGACTGAAGAAAGAAAGACGTGGACATCTTGGATGACATGGGGGTGAGTAAATTATAAGCAAAACTTTTTTTAAAGTGAACTACTCCTTTAAGGCAAGGCATTTCACTCGGCGGCCATTTTTGAAACGCCTCTTGGGAAGCTATTTTAGCCATGCTCCTATCTCTTTGAATGGGGAAACATCAAATTCTCTAAAGCTGTTCAACAAACTTAAGATTAAATTTCATAATAGAAATCACCAATGCAATTTGAAAACTGTTTCATCAATTTTGTTTCTAAACACTCAAATAATGACAAAAAAACCTACATTTTTCAGGCTGGACCAGCTAATGTGCATGTGCAATCAATCATAAGGACAACTTACATCACACTGACAGACGGCAACGGACACTTCGCCGGGTTTTGTCGGATCAGTGTGCTGTTGAACAAGCTGAATCGGATTTAGAAAATCTGAAAAGTGACGTGCTGTAATCTGGTGACTGTCAGCTTTGGCCTGCTTCTGTCGCTGGATACCGGTAAGCGCCCATCTCAGAACACTGTTTCTTTTGCAACTGGAGCTGACTTTTTCCAATTAGTGATTGGCTCTTTTATTTAGAAGCCGGGACTTATTCCGCCATATTGGCCGTTGCACTTTCTCCCATTCATAGTAATATGATTGCATTACATTTGCTTATCTAAAGTCTTGTTTTCTTCACGTTTTTAATGCAGAGAATTCAGACTTAAAGGAGTAGTTCACTTTAAAAAAAACAACTTTTGCTGATAATTTACTCACCCCCATGTCATCCAAGATATCCTTGTCGTTCTTTCTTCAGTCGAACAGAAATTAAGGTTTTTGATGAAAACATTCCAGGATTTTCTCCATATAATGGTCTTCAATGAGTTTCAGTGCAGGTTGAAAGGGCTTTAAACAACACCAGATGATGAATAAGGGTCTTATCAAGCGAAACGATTGCTCATTTAAAAAAAAAAAAACAAAGTTTAAGTTTTACAAGCTCAAATAGTCGCTTTGCTCTGTTCTGTGATGCGCGTTTGTGACTCTCCTGTTCGAACTTCTTCATCAAAACGAAAGAATCTTTTTTCGATCATTTCGTTCGTTGAATGAACCAAATGACACGAAAAAAGATTTGTTCTTTTTGATGAACGAGTTCGAACAGGAGAGTCACGAACGCTCATCACAGAACAGAGCAAGGCGACTATTTGAGCTTATAAAACTTAAACTTTGATATTTATTTTTGAAATAACCGTTCGTTTCGCTTGATAAGACCCTTATTCATCATCTGGAGTCGTTTAAAGCCCTTTGAACAGTTTGCAGTTTGCACTGAATCTGTCTTTTGGACCTTGAACCGTTTGGTTCCCATTGAAGTCCATTATATGGAGAAAAATGCTGGAATGTTTTCATCAAAAACCTTCATTTCTTTCCGACTGAAGAAAGAACGACATGGACATCTTGGATGACATGGGGGTGAGTAAATTATCAGCAAACGTTTTTTTAAAAGTGAACTACTCCTTTAATGTCAATATGCCCTCAACCATACTTCAAATCACTTACTTGACATTAAACTTCAGCAGCTGCACAGCCATACTCTCACAGAAGCCCTCTATGGCGAACTTAGAAGCCGTGTACACATCATTGAAGACCACACCTGCAAGATTAGATCAATAGAGATATATTCAGTGATAATGTCATTGGTCTGCTAATGTGTCTCAAACCATGTGTGGCATTTCTTCCGTCATAATGCTAAGTGCAGAACTCTGAATGGCTTTATTGTTGATCTGACTGTCAAGCATTCAGCTGTGTGACACAGAAGGTTTCAGTCAGGCTTGGTGTGTCCGTTTTACCCTGCAGGCCCATTACACTGCTCATGACGATAATGTGGCCGTCTCGCCTCTTCTTCATGTCTGGCATGACCTCTTTTATCATGCGCACCGTTCCGAAGAAGTTGGTCTCGAACACTTTCTTCATCTCGTCCATACTGATGCTCTCCACGGGTCCCAGCAAACCCACTCCTGCATTATTAACTGGAAAATCAGAAAGGGAACACGGATGGTTATGGACTAGTATTGTGAATCATTCAATCCATGCTTATTATAGTTTCTAGCAAACTCATGTCTGTGGTCATTTTAGTACTCTATCTAATAGGCAGGAAAACAAATCTGTTCAGTTTGTATAACGCCAATCCATGCCTAAACCAAATCCTATTAAAGTTAATGCGTCTAAGTCTGAACAGTCCAATAGGATTTGGTGCACGTGTGTGGTTTTTTTTTTTTTAGTAGTCATGTGACGCGTTTATACAACAGGTGTTTGGTCAAGAATAGCAACAGGTAGTGAACCCTTCATAAGGTAGTGCACTTAAAGGAGTAGTTCACTTTTAACCCTCAGGTGCTCTTCGGTCATTTCTGTTTTGCATTTCTAAAAATCACAGCTTCATCGGAATGTTATGAAACTTGGTGACTTTTATGGCATTGGGTATGTGAATACAAAAAAAAAATTAAGTCATGATCCGAGCATGCTAAGTGGTCGTAAAAAAATAGTCACACTTGTGGTCTTCGGTCAGAAATGACCGACCCATAGGAAATGAATGGGAAATTGACAAAAACACAAAAAAATCACTATTTTTTTATTTTTATTATTATTATTTTTTTTTATAAAAAATCGTTTTTGAGATTGTTTCAACTATATATTCAAATCCACCAAAAAAAACATAAACATCTGGGGAATTCACATGATTCTCCATAGAGAGCTGTACATGCCATCTACTGGTTGCACCATGATTCTACGCTTTTCTCTATACTGTAACCAGATTTTCTTTCATGTTTTGTAAAAAACGTCAAGCATTGCTTTTTAAATCATTATGTTTCAATATTTTTTGCCATGCTTTAAAGAAGTACACTTGTTTTAATGTGTTGACTAACATTCTAAAGCACATGCTTTAGTATGTTAGTACTAAAGCATGTAGTACTAACATACTTTCATGCTGGGTTGGCTCCGCCGCCTTTCCAAGATGGCTGCATGTCCTTCTGTCTGCTCTTTGCCTGTCCATTTTTAGCTCTTTTAAAGGTTTTTAAAACACCTTTCACAGAAATAATCCAGACAGTGCCTTCATTTAACCTACCCTGTTGTATTTGTGAGCTTGTGAGCTCTTGGCCTATTATTTGGTTTGAGGCCTATCTTCATACTTCAACCCAAGGATCTTCTGCAGTGTGGCTTGTCTTCAGCCTAGATCTGTGACGGTTTCTTAAAACAGGATTTACAGCAAGATAACAACACAGCTGCTATCTCCAGCTGCATTGTTGTTCGCCTCCAGCAAACACTAAAGCCTATGGGATCTGGCTACAGAGGTTCTCGGCCTATTCCACCTGGTCTGAGGCCTACCTATTTGTTTTCAAGAGGATCTTGGCCAACTCCACCTACTCCATCACGCATCAGGCTTGTCTCCTGCACGCATCGAAGTCTGTGCTACACTACTAAAGAATCATGTATTACTTTATAAAAATCCTACTGGTTCTCTGGATTTTGTCATTCACCCTTTTGCTGCATGTACAGTACCAGGACCCCGGGCCTGTTGGTAAACGCACTCTAGGATCTCCTACAGCATTGCACTGTCGGGGAACATTAGACTTCATTCTTCAATCAAGAGATGTCACATCCTATTGGATTACTAAATCTGTTGGACTTTCTGTCACCCAGGTATTTCGAACCCTTTCATATTTTTCAATTGTGCTTCTGCAGGAACTGTTTGACTCTAACTTGTTACTAGCTCTGCCCTTTGTTCTGGTGTTGCTTTTAGACGTATGTTAATTATTCTCATGTTATTTATCTCTGGTAATGTTCGTCCAAATCCTGGCCCAGCTAACTCAGTTACTGCCCAGCTGTCATTTGGTGAATTTTGTGACCGTAAATCATTGGGTTTTTTACATGTAAATATCTGCAGTCTGCTGAATTCTAAGCATTTTGACACTTTAAAAACATTGGTGCACACAGCTAATCCTGATGTTCTTGCTGTCTCTGAAACCTGGCGTAAAAAAGGGAACTCTAATCTTGACATATGCATACCAGGCTATAATGTGTTTCGTCAGGATAGGGTTACCAGGGGTGGTGGTGTAGCTATGTATGTTAAAGATCATCTGCAATGTACCGTTGTTCTTTCTAAGTCAGTTCCTAAACAACTTGAACTAGAGGTACTAAAGCTTCGGCTTTCAACTACTTTCTCAATCTCTGTTGCTGTTTGCTATAGAGCACCTTCAGCTCCAGCTTCTGCACTCACAGCCTTTAGTCAACTCTTAGCTCCTTATAGATCCTCTGAGTTTGTCCTGATGGGTGATCTGAACTGGGACATGTTCAATCCCCCAAATACAGTTTTGCAACAGCTTGATGCTCTAAACCTTACTCAGATGATATCAGAGCCCACCAGACCTAATTATAAATCTCCCGCATCATCCACTCTGATTGACCTTATTTTGACTAACAATCCATCTAATTATCAAACAGGAGTGCGCTATTGCATGTATACGGTCTGGCCTTTCATTCAACTTGACATTCATTCAACTTTTCTTTCAACTTGACACAATCTATCATTCAGCCATCCGTTTTGCCACTAATGCACCCTATCACACTCATCACTGCGACCTGTATAAACTGGTGGGTTGGCCCTCCCTTCATACCCGGCGGCTCCATCAATAGGTTTCTCTTCATATATAGACGAATCCGACGAGCGTTCTTGTGTAGGCTGCCATCTTGTGGCGACGCCATTACTGAGCTGTTACACCGGCGTAGACATATGCACCGGTATGTAAACAAACCTCGGAGATAAGGTGATAACGCATCCTTGATGACAGCTACAGACAGGCAGACTTGTTGGGTTGATGATGTTAGACATTGGCCTCCAGTCACAGATGAAGGTACAAACGATCTTACAGATTATTTATGAAAATAGCTTGGCAAGCAAGCTAGGCTAACGTTTGCTACCGAGGAAACTAAAAAAAGATCTGTCCATTTGGCAACAATAAATAAATAAATGAAATCAAATAAACAATTTCATGTGTTTCATTTGTGTCCATTATTTATCTCATTTTTACATTGCAATGGGCATGGGTAAGGTAACGTTACAGCTAGAAAGTATAATATCGACCAATTAGTGTTTTTAAACCATGGAAAGAGGTCAATATAACAGCAGGAGAACAATTATGTCACATAACGTTACATTCAGCTCAGGAAAGCCATTTAATGACCATAGCATGTTAATTGAATAGAAAAAATAACAAGAGCAGAGATTTTGCTGATCACTATATCACACATTTATTATATTTTTTTTACTTATGTCATTAAATAATTGTTATTATACGCGAATGTCCGCGTCTTGTACTCGCCCAGGAAATCTGTGTTTACCGTACGGCTCCAGACAGGGGCACTCGACCCGGGGTATTCACAATGTTTTCTCTTCAAAATTGAAATTTTACTGCCACCATTGAAACAATTTATAAAGAGAAACTGTTTACCCACTCGACATTATACAAGGGCTAACGTTGTAACGTTAGTGTCAGTCGTAAATCTCGAGCTGTTTATTCCCAGTGGACGCAAGTTGCAACTAAAACAATAGAAGGCAATGGCGCAACGCTACCCAGCAACAGCTCAGTAATGGCGCCCGCTTACTTCCGGTAGTTTCGCCGGATTCGTCTATAAGACAATTCTGGGC